GAGAAAATAAATTTGGTGTGCATCACTTTCAGTTAACAAAAATCACATGCGCGTTAAAATACCCTGGGTCTTTATAATAAAATTGTTTTTACACAACTACCTCAAACATCATTCAGAAGGCAGTCATGTTAATGCAATGGATTGTTGTCAGTGCCAGCTGTGTCAAGACATTTTCAAAACTGATGGGATTTAAAAGTCTCTAAACGGTTGTGATGACATCTCAGCTGTCATTTTCTAAGAACCACAATCCTGTGTCTTGTTTTCTAAGACTGGCAGTAGAGTGGAGTCTGATATCTAAGATAATTATGACCTTTTGAAAAATAAGCAAATAAAATGTTGTTTCACAAACATACTATCGAAAGTCGTTGAAACCAAAGGGTATTCATACAAACAAAATACAAGTAGTTATTTATATCAGTAGATAAAATACATATGGCACTATTTCATTAATTGTTAGAAGATTCAGCCCATGCTCTGCAGTTCACAGTTTGAGAGGCTCAGCAAAGTCTAAGTTTCTCTGTAGCTTCCAAAGGCTCAGGAGTGCCTTCAACACGCAGCTGGAAGTTCTGAGTTTCTAGAGGGTCACCTCCTGATGGAGTCCCACCTTCAGTATACTTCAAACTCAATATTTCACCTGTCTCACTTTTACAGAGAGAAGGGTATCCAAGTATCTTCTGGTAGAATCCAGCCAAAAATCACATTTGAGAGGAGTGCAAGGTCGGGAGTGCAGTTCACAGACATGTCCCAAGGGGTGACTTTATTAAAGGAATATATATATGTAATATAGATAATATGTAAAGAAATATATGTATATGTTTATGTAAATAAATGTGTATATATATATATGTTCATATATATATATATATATATATATATATGTTCCAGTTTACCATTCCATGTGCAAGTCTCCTTTCTAATATTTCAGTTATATATAATATATATGTATAATATATATTATATATATAGAAAACTCACTAAAATTTCAAGTGAGTTGAGAAGAAAGTATAAGGCACTCTGGATAGCATAGTTTCATGCATCAACAGAATTGACTTCTAGGGCCATTTAACAAAATCTATTACTCCCTCTTAATGGAAATATTTTAAATAGGCTCCTAGGAGTGGATTTCTTTCCCCCATACTGATTAATCTCTCACCATTTCTTTTCCTGTTTCTACTCATAATCCAGTATGTATCATAAGGAGAAGACACACTCCTTATCCATTCTCTGCTTACACTCACTCTCCTGATGATCTGTTCCAGTTCTATGGCTATAAAGGGAATCTCAAACTTAACAAATTTACATCTGAGTCCTGATTTCCTGCTCAAAGCTTTCTTCAACCCAAGCTCTCTCCATCTCTGTTAATGACAACTCTTTTCTTCTCTATTCTGGCTAAATAATTTGTAGTCATCCCTTGGCTCTTCTCTTTTTCATATACCCTATATTCAATCCACCAACACTTTCTGTCATCTCTTTCTTTAGACTATGTCTAAAATCCAGCCATTCTTAAAAAGATGTTCTCCCTTGCCCTGTCTCATAACTATTCAATCACAAGTCCCATTCATTCTACTTTCTGAATAGCTTTGATGTCTATGCACTTCCCTTTACTCTCTGTGACATTACCAAACCTAATTCACCACAAATTGTCCTCCTGATCTTCTGGAATGGTATCCTAATTTTTCTTTCCTTCATCCACAGCCAGCTATGACATCACATGGGAGCCAGCGATGCTTTTTCAAACATGTGGTTACATCAGTCCCTTACTTAAAATTCTCCTCATTGGCCTCAGAATAAGTAAAAAAGTCCTTAAAAAGACCTACAATGTCCTATATGATTTGGCACCTTTATGCCTTTTGCAATTTGCCTTTCTTCTCCTCAAAACCCACAGGGCTTCTTCCACTTTACCATTCCAAGTGCAAGTCTCCTCTTTGATATCTCAGTCATAGTACTACTTGAAAAATGAGCTTAAAATTTCATTTCCTTCAGAAAGCTCTTCCTTTAAGAAACACATGTTTTCTTTGGGGCTGCTTTTTCCAAATCTGTCTTCTTGATTGACTTTTTACCTTAATCATCTTTTATCTTCAAATCCTAGCACAGTTCCTAAGCACCTACTCCATAAATACACCAAATGTATAAGCTGAAAAATTACTAAAAATAAAATAGCTAGGTTTTCAAAAATGTATTAGACTTTATCCCCTGCAAAAAGGATAATAATATCTATCTTATAAGGGTGTGTGATATTTAGCATAAAATAGCCATTTGAAGACAGCACATCAGTACTAGTATTTAATTAAAATAACATATTATTTACAGTTAAAATAATCATCTTGAAGTATCCTTATGATCATTTTAGAGTTGATGTTATTACTCAAAATACTTTGTCATGGAGAAGGCAAGAGTCACTAAGGAAATTCTAGAAAGAAAAGACGTGAGCAGAACTTAAGGAATATATATCTGTTCTTTTTATATTTTTGAAAGACTTGTGGAGAATAAAAACATTAGTAAAAGAAATAGAGAAAAGATAGTAAACAAAAGACAACTTAATTCCAGGTCATGAACTATTGAATCCATCTGTAGTGACAAATCTTTCTCTGATAATCATACTGAACACTTAACATTATCAGAAGCTTTTGTATTCAAATCTGTTTAAGAAATCAATTTTCTGGCAATTTTTTTTTTTTTTTGGACTGAATCTTGCTCTGTCACCCAGGCTGGAGTGCAATGGCATTACCTCAGCTCACTGCAACCTCCAACTCCTGGGATCAAGCAATTCTCCTGCTTCAGCCTCCCAAGTAGCTGGGATTGCACGTGCCTGATACCACACCCATCTAATTTTTGTATTTTTAATAGACACGGTGTTCACCATATTGGACCAGGCTGGTCTCAAACTCCTGACCTCAGGTGATCCACCCACCTCAGCCTCTCAAAGTGCTAGGACTACAGGTGTGAGCCACCATGCATGGCCAATTTTCTAGATATTTTTAAACCAAAATTGAATATAATAAAAAGGAAATTATAGTGACTTACTTTCTGTGAACAAGAAAGGCTTCTTAGAGGATATTCAACTTAAGCTAAATAATAAAGGAGGAAGAAGATCTGTGCAGGATACAATTGTAAGGAAAGAGGAATTTTAGATGGTAAAACAAAAGTTTTAGGTAAAATATTCACTTTGGGAACCGAAAGTAGTCCAGCTTATGCATATCAATAGGAAAAAATAGAAGTTAATTTCAAAATAACATATTAAAATCAGGGTGTGAAGAATCTCAAATGCCACAGTAAGATGTTTAAGTTTTACATTATAGAAAATAGAGTTTTCAGCTGAATTTTTATATGATAAAAGTTATATTTTGGTAAAACTGATTTAGTAATACTATTCACTATGCTCAGAATGGAAAGATACTGCAAAAAGAGGTATCAGATAAATGGTAAATTCCCTAGCTTAGGGAAAATGTTGCTTATGAAACCCTAAGCTGGAGAAATAAGAGAATCAGCAAGACCATTGTGAAATTATTAGGAAATAAAAGAATTTACATGTATATGTGCATGTACACACACACAAACACACAAGATAAGTGATCAGAGAAAAAAGAGGTGTCAAAAAATTCCTATGTTTCTAGCTCAAACAACTTGAAGAAATAAAATTACGTTTACACAAACATTTGGGTATGATGTTTTGTCACTGACATTAAGCTGAATTGTCAAGACACAGCTTTATAAGGCTACTGAATATCTCCAGAGAACAGTATATCTGTTCATCAGCTAGCTATCAATTGCTGATGCTGGTAGTTCCTTAGTAGGAAAACAGGCAAATAAGAAAAATTATGAGAATAAGTCTGAAGTACAAGGTTAATATATTTCAATAATAATATTAATTAGCATTATTATGTTGAAATTGAAGAGTTCTCTCTAAAATTTAAACATTATTTTAAACAAATGTAGAACCATTTTTTCACTATCTAATACATGTATGTATTGAGTCCTTACAGTGTGCCAGGCATAGTACAGGATGTTCAAAATGTAAATATATGTGTGTATATATATTTACATAGATATATGTTAGTGTAATAATACAGAAATTAGCCGGGCATGGTGGCGCATGCCTGTAATCTCAGCTACTCGGGAGGCTGAGGAAGGAGAATCGCTTGAACCTGGGAAGCAGAGGTTGCAATGAGCCGAGACTGCACCACTGCACCCCAGCCCGGGCATCAAGGGAGAAACTCCGTCTCAAGGAAAAACAAAAATCTTTGAAACTTCATGACTATTTTCAGTTTAAGTTAGATAACTTTGATATAAAGTTTTCTGCTTCTCAGAACATATCCTGGAATATGTGGGTTCCTAGTATCTCCGCAAGCAGGTTTGGAGCATTTTATTTATTTGCAGGTGAATGGTGTGTTTCAATATAATAGATCTCCATCAGACCTGCTGGAAACGCCCATGGGTGGAAATGCCAAGGAAACAGGGACATTATATATAGATACATATTCTGTGGGACAGATGGGAATCAGTGAAGAGGGGATGTCATTTCATCCTTTATCAAACAGAAAGAAACACAAATCAAAAAGAAAAGCAGTGTTGTGAGGAACAAAGGAAAATATGGAGAAGGGGAAGGAGCTGGTGTATTCCAACCTAATACATTCCAGTAATAGTTGTGCCTACTAAAAATCACATTTTATGTGTTCACATCAAAGTATCTGGAATGAAAAGGAAGGTGGAAAAAGAATGTAAAGTTGTAAAACACCTTGCTTGCTTTTTCACTTTGCCTTTTTTTTTTTTTTTAATAAATCTCAAAATAAGGTTTTACCACTGTTCCCTGTCAGTGCTACCCTTCTCAAGCAAGGAAAAATAATTAAACCAAGCATGTATTTTGCATTCTAGAAAATGAATACATGACCTTTCTGCTATTTTGGATCAGATTAGCTTTGTGTTTAGAAATAATATGTGTGTATAAACTGTGCATTCTTTGATTAAACTAATCCAATGACATGCAACTTTATTTCCCACAGATTAACATTGACTTCAGCACCAGAGACCTCATCTCAAAGAATATTGCTGAACCAACACTCAAATGCTTTGATGAGGCTCAGAAATTAATCTATAGTCTCATGGCCAAGGATTCTTTTCCTCGATTTCTAAAGTCAGAGATTTATAAAAAACTGGTCAATCGTCAACAGGTTGCAAATCATAAAAAATGGCTCCCTTTTTTGTGAGGAAGGTAAATGTTAACTAATTAATCACTGTACTTCATTCCAGGCTACAGTAGTTTAAATATACAAGCACAATGCATGTCTTTTGTTTTGTTTTTAGGATTTAGAAAACATTTTTTTTTTACCCAAGCAGACAAATAACGTTTTGTCTTACAAACACATCAAGCCTGAATTTCTAAGTCATTTGTTTAGAATGTATTTGTTTTACCAGCTACTTAATCTCCTACTGGGGGAGTGCAAACAAAGTTTATAGAGATATTTGAAACTGAATATTCTTCTTACATTATAAACGTAAGGAATTATACGTATCTTCACGTGGCAGAATGGAAGACTTTTGAGCATCATATACGCGATTTTAAATACCATTGCTTTATTCAAAAATCTCACTTTTGTAAAAAGAGAAATTCTAAACCAAAATACAAGCATTCATTTAATATATTTAACTGTTTTTTTTTTCAACCATTTATTTCTAACTATTTCTAATAATGTGGTGGCTATGGAAACTGCTATATCTCTCAAATTATTTTGTTTTTAATCACGGCAATGTATATGGCTGAATGCACCATGGACCAAAGTTTTTCAAAATATATCACTTGGTTCAATTCAATGACATCATATATGAAATGTGATGAGTTATGTGAGAAAAGGGCCTCAAGGGTGGGGAATACTGATTTTCTTATATTAATAGAAATACAAAAGAAAGAGGAAGACTAAGGAACATGGATAAATCCTTATATGATGAAGTATACAGCAAGTCATAAAATTTAAAAATTTGCAAACTTATCTACTCGATTGTGGGGAAGTATTCATTCACTCCTTCCGCACTGATACTTGTTTATAAAACCCAATTTTTAAAATGCATCTATTTTTAGATGTTTCTAAAATTGTTTCATTCTATATATAAATATCCTGTGACAAATAGGAATAATTTCAATATGAGAAGCTGTAAAGATTGAACAGATCTCCCATGTTTCCCTTTTCTTTGCACAGATTTATTCATCTGTACTGATATTTGTATTTTTAGATTGTTTGAACATTAAAACATGTAGGAAAAATAGCATGACTTATTTTATGTTTTCACAAACTACTCATTTGATAAACAAAATTTTGTCTCCCCTTCGTCATGAAAAATAAACATTTAAACATATGCAAATGGAATATTCCCTGTACATTTGCAAATTCTTGAAAAGAAGGCATAAATAGAAATTGGTTGTGAAGTATTCAGTGTGCCTAAAGGTGCACTTAGTGGAAAATAGCTATACGTTTTAATATTTATTCTAGAGATTCCAACCTTATTTACTCTCTATTTAAATGGGAAGCTTTAAAATTATTCTCAGAGAAGAAATAGACTTCTGAAGATAAAAGGAACCTTAGAAATTAAAATCGCATTCCCACTTTTAGATGTGAAAAGAAAAAAATCTCAGTTATTTCCTAAGATCACAAGGCTGGTAAGTGACCAAGCTGGTCAGAGCTGTGCTTTTCCCGTAGTGGCTCCCTGTTCTGATAGAACAGCATGGTCCTCTCTCCAATTTAGAACTGTGCTGAGGTCTAAAATCTAAATTTCAACTAATCCTCAAATACCCTGACATGATCCCTTTCATCAGGTATTTGAATTTTCTCTTTACAGTCAGTTTACAACTTCTTTCTTGTTCCCATAGAGCAAGACTTTATGTTTAATGGTTGCCTCTCAAGTTTTCTCTAATGATGTGAAAGAAGCCACAAATCAAATTTTCACTACTTAGAACCAGTAGATGCTTGATAGTACCTAAAAATATACAGCAGGTGTCAAATGGTTTGTTGAAACTGGATGTTAAACAACCTCTAATAGAATCCCAATCAAAGACCTTCAATAACAATACCTACCTCCTCAGCTCACTCCCCACCCTAAGTGACAATTCTAGGTATTCTGGTTTAATAAAAGAAAAGAAAGCTATTGCAGGTTCTTGAATACTTAGAAGTGAGGATTTTTAATAAAATATCAGGTGTACATCTCACACAGGTGGTCTCTTTCACACCATATGTTATTTTATTTCACAAGTTATCACTGATGAGTAATTTTAAGGATAAAATTTTAAGTAAAAAAGATTGAGTAACAACATTAACATTCCTGAAAATGTAATTACATATTCAATGATTGTTTAATGTCATTTCCTAAAAATTTTTCCATCAACTTTAAGAAACGAGGTGATAACATTTAAAAACTAACCTAAGCAGTGAAACATGAATACAATTACAAGATATTTAAATTGAAATGAATTTCAAATTATAGAAGTTTTAGAAGGACAGTGTTTTCCAGTTTCAGATAGTTCCTGCAGAATGTGTTTTAACGCAAATTCCGCTTGCCCTCCACTTGTCAGACCTAAAGAAGTAAAATGATACATTTCTAAGAGAATCTTACATTTTTAACAATAAATTTTGGAGCTACAATCCATGAATTTAAAATCCTTTTGAATTTATTTGTATTTCAAGTATTAATAATTCCATCAATAGTGATTCTTTTAAGTTTATATATAGTTTCTTATATTTGCCTACAAAAGAATCTATTTTTGCCTCAAGATATAATCAACAAATTTTTTTTTCTAATACTATATTGTAAAAATCTAAAATCTTTAGGGCATTACAAACACAATCTAGTCTTCAACTTTACCTTCCCAAATTTGCTTTTGTTTTTTGGATTTTTTTTTTTTCAGTATGTCTATATGTAGAATTCATTCTACCCAAACTTCATTGCTTTAATTACTTTTCTTACAGTTTTAAAAATTCTGTGTGGTGCAGCAACTATGGGTACTCAGGATATTGTTGATGAAAATATATATTGATATAATAAAAGCAGAGAAAAGAAGTGTTTTCAGTTTCTTTTCCAATATCCTTTCTAATGAAGCTTAGTATGAACCTGGCCTTTTATATCATAATAGCATTCTGGGCCATAATTTTGGAAAATGATCTAGATTTCTTTCCTGGAATTTCAAGGAAAGCTTAGGTTCATTATCCTGGACTGGAAATTTAGATTGAATTTTCTTTCCTTTGTCTATATGGAAGGTAATTAGTCATTATTCCCAATCATGTAGGCTACGCCTAACATAAATAATAACAATTATTAGAAAACTTAAGAGATTTATTCCAAAAACAGAAAATCCTCCTTAAAAACAAAAATAGACAATTTGGTCATTGTCACTACCCTCTACACATTTATTTTCTATGTAAAAATTCTATCTTTAGCTTTCACTCACACAATCCCTATATAACAGTTTCACCCCAATTATATCAAATGTGGGCTGGATTTGCTTCCCAACCACACAGCCAGGTAATTTATTTCATGGTGATGCCAATTAATTTAAAGTGAACTCATTTCATAACTGTGAAAAAGGTGGGATGTTGTCACAGCAGTAATCAATTATTACATGAATAAAGAGTCACACAGGCTAGCTTCCTCTTATTGTTTTGGCAGATTTGCATTGCATTTTAATGGGGAATGATCAGGAATGAATTTTAAGTGATAACTTATTTACCTCAGCTATGCCATTTTGAAAAAAATTTTATATGTCCTGTATAAATACTACTTATAGAGTGTGTTTAAGTATATAATGTCTATGCATAATTAATTCTAATAATAAATGAATGTATAGTAGTGTGTTTCCAAGTATAACAGAAGGTGGAAAAATAACATTATCTTTAAAATGCTGTTTTTTTGTTTTTTTTTTAAGAAACGACATCAGCTTTTCTTTTTCTTTTGTTTAAGAAGCAAAAACAGGGCTAGAGACCTGGAAAATTATATATATATATATATATATACACACACACACACACACACACACACATGTATCCAACGAAGTTTAATCAGGTTATTGAGTAGCCATTGAGTATCTATGATTTGTGCTATATCTAGAATAAAGTCAGCTATGAATATCTCTACAAAACAAAAATTTCTTTATTCAATGTACATTGTTTTCGTGGGTGATGATTGTTTAATTATCCCAGGAAGTCTCACATAGAAAAAAATTCATTTATTTCTGTTTTCATAAATAATAATTTTGAAGCAATTAATTCCTTATGAATATGGTTTGAATTCTTTGTTTTAATACTTTTATTTCTTTTGTGCATTTAGGAAAATGAGTTGCAATATTTAGATCATTAATATTGTGAATGATGGTGACTTAAAAATAAAATATAAATAGCAGGCTTTAAAAAAATAACAGAAAAGTTAAATTTTTAAAATTTGGATATATTAAATATACCTGCTTTTACTTCTTACAGATTTTAATTAAAATATATTTATAGCACCAGTTTTAGGTTTAAGGAAATAACTATTTGTTCATGATACCTTAAAATTGTTTTTATTGCACTTTTCAAATATGTCACATTTACTCCAAAGATATCATCATAAATTCAAAATTCTAACAGTTTTTTCTTACATATTATGAGGAAAAGATAAAGAAAATGCCTATCATTTGGTAGAAAAAAAATAAATTTATTAATTCCTCAAAGTAATGTTTTAATATCTGAATGTGAATCTTTTATGAGAACATAGCATAATCCAATGTAAATGACCAAGAACACTGTAAGGGCGATTTAAACTGTTGGAGTTAGGACTGACCTGCTAAAAATCTGCTTTTAAAGTATTGTTTGCTGTCCAACAATTCTCGATTCTTTTGCAGATTTGTTTGTTTTTAGCCTAGAAGCAGTCTTTTAAAAGAGTAAATAATCCCTAACACTAGAAGTTTAAAGATTGATTGAAAATGTCAAATCATGTGTTGTAACTGTATTTTAAACTAGATAAAGCCATTTTCCTTACTCCTGAGTTCTAATTTGATTGCACTGTGGTCTGAGAGACAGTTTGTTACAATTTCCATTCTTTCGCATTTGCTGAGGAGTGTTTTACTTCCAATTACATGCTCAATTTTAGAATAAGTGCCAAGTGATGTTGAGAAGAATGAATATTCTGTGGATTTGGGGTGGAGAGTCCTGTAGATGTCTATTAGTTCCATTTGGTCCAGAGCTGAGTTCAAGTCCTAAATATCCTTGTTAATTTTCTGTCTCATTGATCTGTCTAATTTTGACAGTGGGGTTTCATATCCAGCCAAACTAAGCTTCAGAAGCGAAGGAGAAATAAAATCCTTTATAGACAAGCAAATGCTTCCAGTTTTTGCCCATTCAGTATGATATTGGCTGTGGGCTTGTCATAAATAGCTTATTATTTTGAGATGCATTCCAACGATACCTATTTTATTGAGAGTTTTTAGCATAAAGGGCACCAGTTAGAATGGTGATCATTAAAATATCAGGAAACAACACGTGCTGGAGAGGATGTGGAGAAATAGGAACGCTTTTTCACTGTTGGCGGGAGTGTAAATTAGTTCAACCATTGTGGCAATTCTTCAAGGATCTAGAAATAGAAATACCATTTGTCCCAGCAATCCTATTACTAGGTATACACTCAAAGGATTATAAATCATTCCATTATAAAGACACATGCACATGTATGTTCACTGCAGCATTGTTCACAATAGCAAAGACCTGGAACCAACCCAAATGCCCATCAATGATAGAGTGGTGTGGCACAGATATACCATAGAATACTACGCAGCCATAAAAAAAGATGAGTTCATGTCCTTTGCAGGGACATAAATGAAGCTGGAAACCACCATTCTCAGCAAACCGACTTGAGAATAGAAAACAAAAAAAAAAATCCTGCATGTTCTCACTCATAAGTGGGTGTTGAACAATGAGAACCCATGAACACAGGGAGGAGAACATCACACATTGGGGTCTGTTAGGGGGTGGGGAGCTAGAGGAGGGATAGCAGGGAGTGGGGAGACTGGGGAGGGATAACATTAGGAAAAATACCTAATGAAGATGACAGGGTGATGGATGCAGCAAACCACCTATGTAACAAACCTGAACATCTGCACAGGTACCCCACAACTTGAAGTATAATAAATAAATTTAAGAAAGCCATTTTCCCAGAAATAGTTTTTGTATTAAGTGGTAGAAGCCAGGGGAAATTAAATAGTATCATTATATAGTAGCTTAAAGTAAATTTACAACTTTGTTGAAAAATTTAAGGTTACATATATATATAAATATACACATATATCTACTTAAGGAGCTCTGTTTCTGTTTAAATTTCTGTTTTTGAAAATGTAATGACATATA